CGTGGCCGCCAAAATTCTAGGGGGGGGGGTCAAGTGACCCCATTGAGCCCCCCTGCGGACACCCATGTTGCAGTGTAATTCAATGTCTCTGTGCAGAGTCACTTAGTCACTCAAGCTCCTTTTGTGTCCTTCCCTAATTTTTGGATCCACTGGCTGTTTGTGAGCAAAAGCAAAAATTATGTACGTGGTTAATCAATGGGGATTGTTCTTTAAGCAATTACATTTTTTTAACTAACTGAAGTAATTAGCATATTTTTATAATTCTTGCGTTTGGTTTTTTTTTTTTGTGAGTGAGATGATGCCTTTTGAGATTGTAGTGTCTTTTTATTTTTTTATTTTTTGTTGTTTTTTCCTTTTTCTTTCTTTTTTTTTTTTTTTTTGGTGATTAAGGTTACCACAATTATTCAAATATTTTAAAATCCATATTGTTATGTTTGCTGTTTTATCAAGATTTATGGCTTTGAGCTGTTATAAAAACAATACTTCTGAGATGAGCCAATGAAGGTTTCAATCATCACATGGCTTAGTACTGCAGAACTAGCATCAGTATTGTAGCATAAATAGTCGGAGTCTATGGCTCTGCCCACTGCCTGTATTGACTCATATATTTGTGTATTGATCTTCCTTGCTTTCAGGTGTTCGTCTATTCGAAATAGTTTATTTTAAACAATATTAATAACATATCTGCTCATGCAGTTTGAGAATAGATGTTATGAAATCGGAAACCTTATCTCTTTCTTAGGTCATTTAGTACCAGTAATTACAGCTTTTAATGGTAGATTTTCTGTTTTGAGGTTTGAAGATAATTGTTTATAATATTGATAACGTGAAGTTGTGAAACATTTACTTCGTTGATTTGGTAGATTGTATTTGTCTTGTCCTAGCTTTATAGTATACTAGTACTTCTGTTAGTCAAGTTTCCAGGAGTCATCTTTTAATCATAATTTTTACTTCAGATATGATTTTTACTCTAATTGTCAATTAACAGTGTATAGAAGAAAATATGACATTTGTGCAAAATGCATTTTCATCAGTATACTATATTTGGCTTAAATCCATTCACGATCAGGTATTGGGTCAATCCCTGACGCGGTCCTAGCGGCACTGTGGAGTCACCGAGATCTTGGAATCCACACGGAGATGTTCAGCGATGGTGTTGTAGATCTCGTAGAAGCTGGTGCCATCACAAATGCCAGGAAGACAATCCATCCTGGGAAAATTGTCGGAGGTTTTGCAGTTGGTACACAGCGCCTGTATGACTTCATGGATAATAATCCTTTTATAGGTGAGCATGAGAGAAAATAGGCTAGAAAGAGACTGGCTTTTTTTTCTAGAATGTAATTGGATATTTTTTATCTGAACCTATTTTTGTTAATGAGTAAGACAATCTTTTGATTATTTCAAATGAAAAAGGAAAAGAAGATATGTTTTGTCAAATTTTAGTCATTAGAATAATGTATGTTGACCTTGAAAAAAAACATATAAATTTAATTAATTTTTTAAAAAAATCTATTAAAAATTTTAGTGATGTTGGACATTGCATTTGTAAACAACACTGCAATAATTAGCCAGAATCCCAAAGTGACGGCAATCAACTCGTGTATTGAGATTGACTTGACAGGACAGGTGTGTGCAGACTCCATCGGAACTAGAATGTATTCAGGCAAGTTTTACACTGATATTTATTTTTGTGTGGCTCAGCATGATTTTATAAGTATAACCTAAGATTTGTTCATTCATTTAATTTTATATCTGTATTCACATTACACTTTATGACTATCGCAACATATGAAAACTGTTAAAACCTGGGTATATTTGACTGAATTCAATAGTCCTCCCCTTCAAAAAGGCCAAAGCTTTCAAAATTTATAAGGCATCAAAAACTTCTTATGAGCATTTTGAGCTAGCCATAGTGTAAGAGAATATGGGACAGAATCATCTTGGCTTTTTTTTAATCAGTATTGATTTTCTCAGAAGCAGTCATATTCACATTTCCCACAGACTTCTTGTTATTCCTGTTTGAACATAAATTCAATTTGCTGCTTTCATTAGAAAGATGGTTGCTATGGCAATGTATGATAAGTTCACCTTTTGCTAAGTGTCAAATTTCCTAACAGTGATACTGATACTGATTATCACCAGTTCTTCTGTATTTTACTCAAAGTCAGGTGGAAGGAGTGTTAATATGGCTGGTTGATTGCATTCAGCGAGAGTCCCCAGGGAGTTGGGTTGAGCCATGTAGACTGATGGTGCCTATGGGAATGGGGCCTAAGATTCAGAAAAAAATTTATAATGTGACCTATTGACCTGTTTGACTATGCCGTAGGTGGTAAAAATATATGTATGAGTGATCGCTACATTTTCAATAAGTGTTTTTCTGTTGGTTTCTGAAGGTGTGGGTGGCCAGATAGACTTCTTGCGTGGAGCAGCTTTGAGTGTGGATGGTCTTGGGAAACCCATCCTAGCACTGCCATCTGTGACCAAGAATGGAGAAAGTAAAATTGTACCCTATCTGAAGAAAGGTAAGGTGGTCAGTCATATTGTATTTTTAAATGGACTTTTTTTTAGCAAAACTTAATTCCCTTATGTCCCCAGAAATATTGACCCATGAATCAGAACGTCTACGGTTTGACAGGATCCAATGTTGCTTTTGCAAAATAATGTTTCATGCATAATAGAAAAATTGAACATTTTTCTGTATGTATACAATATATATGTAGTAATCTATGATATTCACTGTGTAATCAAAGAAATTCAACAAAATGATAAAAAGAAAAAAAGCACCGTGTCTGAGAAAATACAAAACTCTGGTTTATATTATGAAGACAGGATACAGTGCCTTTTAAAACTGGAAGGATAGTTAAATGAAAAATTATTAAATTTTTAATTTTTTTTTTTCGTCTTCAGGTGCTGGTGTTGTGACAAGCAGAGCTCATGCACATTTCATCGTGACAGAATACGGCATTGCGTCTTTGTTTGGCAAGAATCTCAGACAGAGAGCTTACGAATTAATCAAAATTGCTCACCCTGATCATAGAGAAAATTTGGAGAAAGAATCATTTGAAAGGCTAAAATGCATGCCATCACCTTAGAGAGTATTTATTTGCAGTAGGCATATGCCATGTATTCAATAGCAAAATTACGCCTCTTTTTACAACTATTCACTTTAAAAAGTGGAAAACAAAATAGTTGTGTAAGAATTAACTTTTTTCTGCATTTCCAATATTTGAAAAGGTAAGGTTGAAAACGGATCTCAAAGATCAAGACTTCTTTGCATGTTTTTCTCTCTTTTTAATACAAAAATATCCTGCTGTTGTAACACATACATGACAACAATGGGGAAAAAGTAGTACAATTTTATGAAAATCCCATTTCCTTTTGATTGAATAAAAAAAAAATAATAATAACTCTAGGTACTAGTACAGGTGTATGCATATATGTCCTTGTTTTCACTTATTGTTATAGATAAGTTACTATATGATGTGACCTGGCATTACGTAATAATACTAATGATATTAACACAAATAGCCACAGGGTTAATTTTTGGAAGTAGAATATGTTGTATCACAAGTGCAGTTTTTCCCCTACTTTTTGTTGCGTGGCATTTCAAATTGTTGATTCCTTTGAGCTGTACAATGCATCTGGCTGTCGCTAACTGGCAACTGCTGCCACCTGGTGGCCAGATCGTGGGGCGACTTGTAGTTTATTAACAGTATTGATATTTCAGTGTTACATTATAATATAGTAGTAATTTTCAGCTGAGAAACAGTGAAGTTTAAGTGATCAAATCAAAATGTGAAAGCAAATCCTCTCAATCAGATCACATGAGAGGCTTACAGGTTCATAAAAGTCAATTGAAATCGCCATTGCCACATAAAAATATACATTTATTTGATATTTTGTCAGTTCAAAGCCAGAAGTTTCTAGAAATTTGAAAGTACTTTATTAATGTTCATGTTTTAAACTATGTATAGCACAAAGTGTGTTTATAATAATAAAAAAAAACCACAGGAGATTTAGTTAAGAATACATAGACCATAATTTTGAGTCAATTTGAAAGTGCTTGACACTTAAAAGCACCAGAGCATAAGCCTATTTTAGTTTTGTGAATTGGTGTAAAATGTTCAGTATGAGTGAATGGTGCTAAACACTTGGACTATGTGGATACCCCCTGGTATATATATAACCCATTGCAAGTAGTCCTTTGTACGTGTATATGTGTGTATTATAATTTTGTATTTTTAATTAAGCTTTAGTTGTAAAGTAGGGAATACCTAAGGACTGGTGGGCCCAGTATTATTAAATTTGGAGAAGGGGGGCATATACATACATACATACATACATATATATATATATATATATATATATATATATATATATATATATATATATATATATATGGAGGATGCCCCACCCCTTGGGCCCATCCTAGCCTTTATATGTGTATATATAAAGTAACGCCTCTTAAAAACTGTTTAAAATAGTTAATGGCTCTGCCGTGACGTTGTTTTATTACTGTGGTAATACAAATGTTGTGATCCTTCACGAGGAAAAAAGTTGAAATATAAGTTAAGTTCCTGGGAAAGAGGAACCAAATCATGAACAGTGTATTACAAGGATGCGAAAAGTGTTGAGAGATTTTATTTCATACAGGATTAGATGAATGAAACTTCTGACAGGTCTGCATTTATAAAAGGCTAATGTAATCCTATGTCTGCACAGATACAGGAAAGTATGGTGCGTTTTGTCTCAATACCAGAAATATATGATTGTGTAACTGCAGATGGCTTATTGCTAAATACTAGTTTTGTTACAATTTATTGTTAAGTATGAAATAAATATCATGATTAAAATGGTCTTTTTATATATTTATTTTTCATATTTGTATGTCACTGTCATTGTCGTCCAAAACAAAATTTTAAATTCGTACTAGTATTCAGTGGGTTAGGGAAACAGAAAATTGATATAATAGTATATCAGTATGGCAATCAGTTACCAATAATTAACGTATTCATAATCAAACAATAGGTTTCTTAGTCTTTCTCCTTTTCCTCTTTTTGTGGCAGGATTTTTTTGATTTCAGCAAAAATGTATTTTGGCTCCCTGGTACAGAGTCATTTCTTTCTTTGCTCTCAAAAACAGAATTCTGTAACTTTTCTTCAGCCTTTTTGCAATCATCATTTAGTTTTCTCCTTTTTTTTGACTTTTTACTGGTGGATAATTCACCCATGGCGCCACTGTTATACACAACCTTTGTGGAAAATTGATAACAATTTTTCTTGTCAGAGTTCCTCTCGTAAATATGTGGCACAACCTCTTCTGGGTTTTGTTTCCTTTTCACATTTGTATTCATTGAATTCAAATTTCCTTGATTTGCCTGAGCCTTATCATCTCCATCACCATGGTAACAGTCAAGACACTCCTTGTCACCAAGGCAACGTTCAAGACAAGCCACAAAGAAGCCATTAGTATAGTCTTGCTGTGCGGAGGCCCTGAGGCACAAATGTCCAAATTCAAAGTCCCCCAGGCCCCTGTGTGTCCAGTTTGGAAGAGCACGGGTCAAGTGAAACTGACCACCAGTCTCTAGAAGAACTCTTTGAACCACTTCCTCGTTTTCTTCTCTATGAGTAGAACAGGTGGAATACACTACACGCCTGACGTTTGGGAAAGAGAGAGCATGTTTCAATATGGAGGCTTGGAAACTGGCAAGACTGCCTAGGCGCTGGGTTAGTGTGGAATCTTCTTTATCTGTGATGGAGTTAAGTCTGCTGACTATACCTGTAAGATAAAAATAATGACAACTAAAAAAATTTCACATTTAATGGATTTAAATGCTTCTAAGATTCTCTCAAATATCTTTTGAATTCTCAGCAAAAGAAACTTTTCCTGAAATGTCTTTAATACTAGACCAATCCCTCGACTCACCTGATCCGCTACAAGAAGGGTCAACAAGTACAAATTCCACATCCTGGTATGTCTTGTCTAGTGGTGACACCTTCAGGAAGTCCTGGTGGTGAAGATGGGCACACTGTACCCCAGCCTTGGCCAACATGGATTTAAGAATTTTGAACCTTGCACCATCTTTGTCAAATGCATGCAACTTCCTAGAAACATAAGCAGATCATTAAAATATGGTAATACTCATAGCTTGTTTTTCCTTTAGGTTTATTTATCCAGTATTTATGGTGACTATTGACTAGCATGATTTTTTATATATGTAAAAATAATAGTTTTTACAGAAAATTAAAAACTTGAATTTATAGGATACTATAGCTCATTTAAATCTCTTTTAGCTTTTTTTATAAATTTGGTATTATATTCATCTTAGTGTTTTTTAGGTTTATATGTAAAATATTTGTAAACAACGCTCTGACATTTGAGCAGCACATTTTTTAATTCAAAGGGAATAAATCTTTATTAAAAATCTAATGACACAACTTGGTTAAATGTCAGCATAGTGCCTTCCAAAAAACATTAAAATATTGACAATTTTTGAGTGTTGTTCTACTGACAACCTTGAACTAAAGGGTCTTGATGAGCTCTAAAACTCTCACCCTTCATTTTTCATGCCAGCAGCCAGCTGGGAGGTCTTGTTGCCGGGGGCAGCACAACAGTCGATCACATGACTTCCTGGCAGGGGGGACAAGATGTGAGCTGGTATGCAACTGGCCTTAAATGAATAACATCTCTTTTACAAAGGCACAATACTGGTTTTAATGTAGAAAGAACCTGACTCCCCAGAAACAAGGATATTTTTAGCAAAAACTACAACAGCAGAGGATAGAAATAGAAAAGGATTTGAACAGCTTGTTACAATACAGTTATAACTTTTAATCATTTGGTCAGCAGATATAAAGAGCCCTGACCTAGGGCTATAGTTGCCCACTCTTACCTTGTCCTGCAGTATAATGCTGCCGTCAGTATACAGGGGGTGTTGGTGGAAATCTTTGCCTGGTGGAAACACAAGGACATCAGGAAGATGGAAGTCTTTTAAGAAATGTTTTCCCATTAGGGATTTTACAGAGGGTAAGTACCTGCAAACAACACAACAATATTAATGAAGTTTGGTTGGGTATTTTTATGTTTATACCAATCAAGATTTGTGAACAATTTTCCATGAAGGATTCAAATGTGACATGTTTATTATTAATCACTGCAACAAAATGTTTTTAAACATGTAAGTTCAGCAGCAATGGTAGCTTTTGCTGACAGACAGATACAAAAAAGATTTGGCCAGATCAAGAAGTATTCAAAAATTGATCTAGAAAATGTGTTTGTACACAGTGTTCTGAACTGATGGAGAAAGCTTCAACTATGAAAGTTATTGTGCATCATTATAAAATGTGACAGAGAACTGACTTGATACCTTTTGGTGATAACAGACTGCACACCAAGAAAGAATGGTCTTTATTTTTCCCACCAAAAGATATCAAATCAGTTTTCCCTCAAACTGAGTGATGTAATCGATTGTTCTGTTCCAACTAAAATAACACATACTCCTCATAGCTGTTATAGTTGTTGCTGCACTGGTCAAATGTATATCCTTCAGACTCATAGTGTCCAATGACATCTTCCACATTGGTCTTCAGGAGATTTACCCTCACATATCTCGGCAGTGGGACTGTAATCGAACACATCACAATACCAAACAGGTTATAGTGCATGATAATATGTGGCATTGGATATAAACAAATGAATGAATGTGTAAGGGAGTGAAAGAATGGAATGAATTATTGAATGAAGGAAGGCAGGTAGGAAAAAAGGACCAAACAACTATGAAGTAATCAATAAAACACAAAGTATCAAATAAATAAAAGTAAGACTGGCACTGAAAGAATAATTACCAATGCTGATAAGAAACCAATACACTTGTACATACCAGTACTAGATGTAATACCACTACTAGTAAGCAAATTTCACCTTTTTTAGGGATTTGAATTTTCATACTTAACACTCCAAATATAAAAGAAAAAAATGAAATGCTTTGTTTTTCCCCTGAAACTATTTTATAAGATATGAGAAAAATACTTGCCTTCCTTTCTCACATGTTCAGGAAGAAGACCTTCATTGCTTGCAACTTTAGCTCGAACCTTTAGCCTAGCCAACTCAGCACTGAGGGCAGCCTTATGTTTCCACACTGCAGCCTGAAATCAAAGTCAAAAGTTAAATTAAAATAATTATCACAAAAATAAAGAAACTTCAATGTGTTATGGTGATGAAGACAGTCTTGTGTTGCCATACCACTGCCTAATTCAATGAAATCAATTTTTTTTTTTAATTGTTCAGAAAAAGAAAGAAATTTCAAGGTGTAAAGGTGCACTGCTCTTCAACATACTGTAATACATGTTATGAAGTGTTGAAATAATCATAATAACAAGTGGATTCTCAGGTGCAAATCATATCTCGCAATGTTTTATGATATCAATTGGAAAAAAAGATCATTAAGATTCAAAAGCAAATCTAAAATTGAAAAAAAAAAAGTGTACCTTCAAATTTCCATCACTTTTCAACCCTTTTCCTATCAATAAATCGTACACCACAACTTGGGCTAGTGGCCGTCGCTGTAAAGTCTTCTCCAGTTTACATAGCTGTACAGCATCGATGACTTGGTCTAATACATCACTGTACTTGAGAGTCTCACAGACCAAGGCATACAACTGCTTGGTATTCTAAATACACAACACAAAACACATGTATACACAATGATATGATCTTTTAAAATAACCTAACTTAAGTCTTAAGGAGAAATATTGAAGTTTTTGTAAAGAAAGGTTTCTAATAATGGATAAACTTAACTTTGTGATAACTCCCTGTTCTTAATTTGTTCGTCTTAAGCTTCGACTTTAGAAGTCTGGTTTGCGCACTCATAGCAAGTCTAAATTTTCAGTTTGCCTCAGTATTCTGTATTTGTTGTATAGGCCTCCTTACCTTTACCCGCCTGTGAGAAAGTACCAATGACTTCACCGTCCCTCTCTTGTCTCGTACCTGCTGTATAATACCTGCAGCTTCTTGGTACAGCCCCATTCAGTATAGGTAACTCTGGATATATTAAATTGCAATCAACTCAACATTCCGCCAAAGAAGAGAGAGTCCACACATGGACCACCGAAAGTGGGTACTTGATGATGTAAAATTGGATCTGCTTAGTTCTTGAACTTAGGTCCTGCGCCACGAAAATTTCTTATTTAACAACACACATTTTTTCTAAGAAATTGGAATGAAACATTACAAAATTACATTTCCTGTGTATAATGATTATGGGTGAAAAAATTGGACCCTAGCTGAGACAGTAAATGCTAATTACAAGCGGGATGCAGAAATTACGAACTAGTCAGGGTTGTAATATGGCCGATCTCAAAGACAAGAAACTTGTGAAGGGTCGGCGTATTGTATTTGAGGATGGCGTGGTTTCGGAGGGGTGCATCGTGATCAGAGAAGGCAAAATAGAAGCAGTACATCGTGGTGAAAATGCACCAATAAACGAGGAAGAATTTCAAGAGGTTCGTGGAGCAATGTTGTATACAATATGCCACGCCCACCCCCTCACTATATAACTCTTTGGTTTTTAACATCTCTTAAATGAATTTGTGTAGATTCTTACTGTTTCTCATTAATTATCTCTGCCCTATGTCCAGGTAATAGATTCAGGTTATAGATGCAGTCAGTCTGGTCATTATGCCATTGATGTTAATGGACAGACATGTCCATCTCAATATTTCTCAACATATATTATCTCTTTCCTGTGGCCAGGTGATAGATGCAGGCAATCAGGTCGTCATGCCAGGGATAGTGGACAGTCACGTCCATGTCAACGAGCCAGGGAGGACGGCCTGGGAGGGCTACGAGACTGCCACCAAGGCTGCTGCCATGGGAGGAATCACGACTATTGTTGACATGCCATTGTGAGTCTCAGTGCCTGGTATTTGTTATAGATCTATGCTACATTGTGAGTGCCTGCTATTTGTTATATGTTCCACATTGTATGATATGAAATGCTATGTTATATTGTATTATATTATGTTATTACTTGATAAATGATTTTATTTCGTGTCATGTCATGTGGTTATTTTAAATTCTTCCAAATAAGTTAAATTTCATGTACAGTACAGTAGGATATGCACAGCTGTATCTCTGATATTGGGTATATATGGTCCTCTGAGAATAATTTATTTGATAGATTACAATTTGTGTTCTCCGCTAAACTTCATATGTAAAAATATTATCTTAGAAAATTTAAAAAAAAGAAAAGGTACCCTGCCCTGCTACTGAGTTTGACATGGGGCCTCCTTCAAACCCCTCTTCCCCATATTGGAAATTATTTTAAAAGCAATTCCACATTTTACTCTTTGATACCATGCACCCTTTCAGGAACAGTATTCCACCCACTACTACTCTGGACGCCTTCAAGATCAAAATGGAGCATGCTCAGCCACAGTGCTATGTGGACGTGGCTTTCTGGGGAGGGGTGGTGCCAGGGAACGAGGTGGGTGGCAGCAGTGCTATGTGGGCGTGGCTTTCTGGGGAGGGGTGGTGCCAGGGAACGCGGTGAGTGGACATCTTTATCTCACCATCGTCACCAGTTGATCCAGTTCCATTTTTCCTAAGGGGAGGGAGGTTGTAGGAACAGCTATAAAGCTGGTTATTTTAAGAAAAGTGAGAGGGAGGGTAGGAAGAGGCATCCCCCCCCAACCTGCCTTTGGATGTACTATTTTTTTATCTTAAAAAGCAAAATTGCATGTTTTCTGATGAGCCAAATAACATTTTACCTTTTGATTAATGACAAATTTGCCTGTGATAGAAATGTATCATTTTATCCAAGCAAAAACTGGATTTAACTTCAAGAAGATCTCAAACTAACGAAATGATTTATAAAGTACATGTTAATTTGGTACTGGTGAAGTTCATGCCTCTGGGTACTTACAGGTAGACAACTACCTGAAAATGTCCAGCTAAATAATGTAAAAGAAATTAATACTAGTAAATGTATGTGCTAGTGTACATGTTCTTATTTCTTCTCCAGATTATACAAGTTGCTCATGACAAACATTTTGATATTTTTCAAACTTTCTCACCAGATGGAGCTACGACCTATGATCAATGCTGGCATTGCAGGGTTTAAATGTTTCCTTATTCACAGCGGGGTGGACGAATTCCCTCACGTGACAACTGAAGATCTTCACGCGGCCATGAAACAGTTACAGGGAACAGACAGTGTACTTCTGGTGAGGACACCCTGGGTATCACAAGCCACTGGAAACTAATCTCTATAACATGCACAGGTACATATCTGAGCATGTTTCTGCTAATCATGCATATAGAGGTTAGTTTTCAGTGACCTCTGAAACTCGGGGTAATTTTGGAGGATTAATTATAATAATAATAATAATAATTTTAATAAAAATAATATTAATAATTATAGCAGTAGTAATACTTACGTCTAAATATAGACTTATCATCAAGGCATTTATCTTGACATTGTAACTGCATGAGCAAAGTAGTGCATACACTGTTTTTTCTGATGCCTGTGTGCACATTATAATGTATTTTAATATATGATAGACTGTTTTTTTATCTCATACATGTTTAGTTTCATGCGGAAGTGGAGACATCTGACATTCCAGATTCATTAGGTATATAAAATACTATTTATAAAGAGGTTGTGAAGATTGTGTAAGTTTTGCCTAGATTTTTGTTAGTTGTGCCTCACTGTTAGTGCATGCGCAGGTGTGATGTGCATTTAATGATATTTTCCCCCTTCACTGATCATAAACAATTTACAATTATATTTTGTGTACATTTTTGGTAACATTCAACTGTTGAAGCAACTGTGTACCTGATAGAATATTATTTAATTTTTTGTTTAGTATTGCATCTTTTTATTTTGTAAATTTTATAGAGATATCTGCATAATTTGAAGCTGTTTTGTAGTTTGTCAATCAAAAAAGAAATGTAGCAATTTTCCCAACAAACATGTTCTTGGGTTGTGTTTCAGGATCACCTGAAGAGTATTCCAGTTTCCTAGCGTCACGACCGCCAAGTATGGAGTATGAGGCCATCAAACTGGTCTGCAATATGTGCAAAACCTATAGGTTGTTTATTTATTTATTTATTTATTTATTTATTTATTTATTTATTTATTTATTTTTGTTTATTTGTTTACTTGTAAGTAATGTTTTTATAATTTCTTATAGTTTATTAAAGTCTTCCATACATTTTAACATAAACCATAGCACACTGTAGGACATTTTCAATTTTATGCATTAATGCCACCATTCTCCTTCACAACATTTCTAGATTAAGATTTTATAAACATTTTAAAGAAATAATCCACTTGTCAAGTAAAAATGCAGTGTATTGTTTGCTGTAGGGTTCCATGTCACATTGTCCACCTGTCTGCAGCTGCAGCACTTCCTCTGATACAAGAGGCGAGAGGAGCAGGTGCCCCCCTCACAGTAGAGACCTGTCACCATTACCTGAACCTAGAGGCCGCCACTGTGCCCGGGAAAGCCACTCAGTACAAGTGTTGTCCTCCCATCAGGGATGCCAGAAACCAGGCTAGTCTAGTGTTCAGAAATGACATTGTTCTAGATTATTTCCTCATTAGATTTTACCGTAAATTATGAAAGGGGTTGCTACTTACCGTGGATGACTGTACTTCTAAATATACATGTAGCAGGTACAGTTATTGGATTTAAAAATTACCCCTTTTAGATTTTCAAATTGTTACAGTTGTTTTCAAAAAATTTTATTAACTTTTCACATAAAAATATACAATGCCTACTTCAATTCCAAGAATGTCTGTAAGCATACATGTTCCCTACAATGATTATGTATCATGGATCCAATTTTATGTTGAAATTCGAGAAATAATCTCCAGTAGAACCTGTTAGTTTGAAACATTACTTATTTAAGTGGCAGGACTACTTTTAGGTAATTTTTGGTGATTCTGATAAATTAATCTCTCACAATATCATTATATAAAAAGCTCCTTTTGCTGTGTTCTTTAATTTGGTCTATATCTTATACTTGTGTATCAGGAGATTCTGTGGCAGGCCCTGGGTAATGGAGACATAGACATGGTAGTATCTGACCACTCACCCTGTACTCCAGAACTCAAGCTGTTGGAGAAAGGAGACTTCTTGGCTGCCTGGGGAGGGATAGCATCTGTCCAGTTTGGTGAGTATTGTGCCCAGTTCGGTAATCAAGGCCCTTTTCAAATCTTGCATTGTAGTTTATTGTGCCGTTTTAGTTGGGTGAGTAACTGTGTTGAGTTTGGTGAATATGTAAGGCCCATTTCACATAAAGTGTAGTTTTTTGTGTTGCTTCAGTTTAAGAGATTGACAACTTAATAGCCTGACTGTCACCTAAACAGAGCACCTGCACTCAGCACAGCCAGTTAACTGGATAAATTTGGAATGGTAAACTGGGTGCTGATTTGAAAAAGATTGTCTTTAGCTCCCCCCCATCTTTAAGAACTAGTCAGAAAGATAAAGAAAACTAAAACCTGATGTTCTTGAAATGGCACTTTGTAAAACCACTGATAGAGCAGATAAAATTGTAATTGTACAAGATTTTAGTATTTCCATACAAAGTTAGATTTTTTTCACCTGTAAAGCTTTGAAATGCAACTTTCACCTCGCAGGTTTGTCACTGTTTTGGACTGGCGGTTCCAAGCGTGGCTTCACTCTGCAGGACATGGTGAGGTTGATGTGTGAGAACACTTCCAAGCTGGCTGGTCTGGGGGACAGAAAAGGAAAGATTAGGGCAGGCTGTGACGCTGATTTGGTCATATGGGACCCTGAGGCCATGTGGAAGGTGGGTCGTGCTTGAGACTGGGTGAATGAGTGTGCACACTTTCGTGGTAAGATGCACATTCCTACTTGCCTGTATATACTAGTACACACACACGCCTGCACACATGCCTGCACACACACACACACACACACACACACACTTGTCGATTGTAGCACACAAACATACGCAAATCTTTAAATATATTGTGAAAAAGCAGCTACAAGCAAGTTTCATTGTTACTTAGGATTTCACTGAAAATGTTTTTTTTTCTCTTGTTTTTATCTTTGGTGTAGTCATTAAACTGTACATGTAGTTTTGATCTTCTTGAATCTTCTTCTTCTTCTTCCCACTCTGACTCTTTGCAAATGTGCTATTTCTGCTGCAGGTTCCAAAAGATGTTGACATATGCTTTTTTTTTATTTAGTAATGTGTGTTGTTATGTTTGTAAAATTTCAGGTGGCAGTGCCCTCCATACAGCATAAAAATAAGGTGAGGATAAACATGTACCTTGAGTGGAAAAAAAACTTGAATTTTGTCTGCCTTACTATTGTGTTGTCATTGAACATTGCCCATTGTTCATATACCAGTAAAAGTGTTTTACTCTTAGGCTAGCAGAAATTTCAACTCCGCGTGAATTTTGTGAATTAACCGACCATTTTGCTTATTGTAATTTAATTGTTTCTCCCCTTAGATTTACATCTAATTTTTTAAAACTTATACACAGTATTTTATTTAATTTTAAACTTCATTTCCAGTCAGCTGTTTCAATGTAACTAAAGTAAATAATAAACTAGAAAGGAGATAGTTTATAAATGATTTCGTGTTTCATTCATATGACTTTAATGTACTCTTTATTTTACATAGATAACCCCATATTTGGACATGGCACTGAAGGGTAAGGTACTAAAAACCATTCTGCGAGGACAAGTTGTTTATTCTGACACTGAAGGCATCGCACAGCAGCCAATGGGACAGCTCCTTTTAAAAACCGGTGGGAAATGACACAGCAAGGTTGTAAAAAGGCTCATTATAGGTCATTTTATTAAGTGTAATTATGGCAAGAAACTGGAAAGGACCCTTTACTAAGTAAATTTATCAATTTAATGCCTGCATTTTGAAAAATAAAAAGGTCAGTAAATGTTATTATGAAACAGTGAAAATAGCATTTTTGTGCCTTTTCACAGTAACTGCCCTCATGAAGTTCTACATTTAAATATATTTTGATATACTATAATATTATAACTATGCAAGCTAGTGATAATGATTTGTTTATCAACCAGCCAGGGATTAGAATTTTTATCATAATTTTAAATATTATACTTTCTGTACATCAGAAAGTACAATGCATAGTTGAAAACATATCATAAGATACAGTATTAGTTTATTTGTCAGTAATACAATATTCTTTGGTTTGGTTTTACTTATATACATGCATATATCTAGTTATAACAAAAAACTTAGGAGTGGTGTTGCTTGTTTTGAATATGTAATCATACATGCTGTGCTCGTATGTTGTTGACAACAGCTGTGAAACGGCAAACAAACTGATTGAATAATGCAATGACAATTTTATTTGAAAAACTAAAAAAAGAACAACTGTACTATTATTTGAAAGATTTGCGATTTGTAAAAAAATTATTTATTAAGTAATTTAGTTGGTTTATTGAGCAAAGAAAAACAAGAACGGGTTGGCGTAGTTTTGTAATTTCACTGGACAAATGTGTTTTTTCTTCTTTGGTAACATCTTTCATAGGAAATCGTGTCCGCACGCAAACGTCGAAGAATCAAATTTTCCACTGGTGAACTGCATGTTTCTGGCCTCCTATTTCATTCATCAAATTACCTTGAAACAAAAGGTACACAAACAGCGTGACAAATTCGCCTGTGTCGATACCGATTCCTGGAAAAGGTTGTTGTGGTATTGATTTTTATAATTGCTTCTGTTTATGTGAGACACCGTTAAATGTAACATGAGGCATCAGTGACGCATGACGCCAGCCAGTTCGCTGTTGACCGTTAACCGTTGTGTCTTCTTCCCGTTTTTAGACGCTGTATTAGCAACCTGTTTTAACAGGTACTTTGCTGTGTCAAAACAAGGCCGTAGATTTTATCTACCTTGGTCAATTAAAGTGAGCTTTGTAATTGTTATTTAATGGTGCGTTCTTTGCACGACAACTGCAAATTAAAATGTTTTTAAACATTAATTAAAATTATCTTTATCATATGATTAAGAATTACGTAGTTGCATGCACCAGAGATTCGAGACAATTTAGCCTAACTGGCGTTTAACGTGAACTTCAATTCGAATTTAATACCAAAAATTGTGGGCCCGGTATCTCGGAAGCTTCGCTATGTTGCGACCGTGCGCAAGCGTCTCGATTCCATAACTCGCCCATACTCGTCCCATATTATACATTGTAGCCTGTATTTGATATAGCGATTCCCAATACGCGATGCTTTCGAGATGCGGGGCCCTGGTAACAAAATGAGCGAGCGACAGAGAGAGAGAGAGTTTGTGCAGTATAGTGACACACTCGAAAAATCCGCTTTGCTTTGTGAATTTTGACACTGCATTCTGACAATAAAGAATCTTAATATCGGCAGCGGGTATCGAGTAGATTTTAATTTCAAAATCCATTCTTCGTCTTATTTTATTCAGAAGTGCAAACCGCTTTAATTTCCACCACTAAACCTTAAAATACGAACACACATGAAATTACAATAACCAAGAAAATGAGTCAAACGACTTGATGGATTTCTACAAAGGTACGCATATGTATATATTTATTTCACATTATATACTTACATGTTCATATCTGCACAGGAAGGTGAACGGGCTGATATAACGTGTAGTTAATTGTCTATGTATGGTACGTTCAGTCAAATTCCAAGCATTTTCAACTATATTTCTTGATATTAAGACATTTCACCCATATTTGTTCATAATTAAGTTATGTCAAACATATTTGGAGATTACTTTTCGCCCTTATATGGTCATATTAAGAAATACAGTGAATATTTAACTGTTTCTTGGATATGAAAATAACAACAATCTTCTGGTCATACGTATGTACTGCACGCACACGTACCATACAATAAATAATCCATAAAAACACATATGCATGCTGCAGTGTGCGGGCACGCGTGCATTTAATGCGAATTGTTCAGTCGTGCAGAGTGGCAAATTATACGCATTTGCGCATCTTCTACGCATTATTTTGGACAATTACGTTGATTACAGGTGCTATTCTATTGTTAATAAGATTCTAGACAGCAGATATGCGCATTTTGAAAACTGTCATTCTGGCAATTCTGCACCTGGTATAGTTAATGAAACGAGTGGCTCAACGACTAGACCAAAACGTCCTGCTGTGCATTAAACATGGTTTAGTCAATACGCCGTACGCTCCGTACACAAATTTTACGCTGTGTTCATGTGCGTGTAGCGTATTGTAGTCTGAATATGTAATACGCATTGCCAATGGCATTCCATGGCTTTAAACAGCAAGTTCACAGACACCTGACAATGTTGTTAACGAAAAGAAGTGGGTTCGTGCCTCACAGTGTATACTTCGCACAAATATCAATATGTTATATATGTAATAATTCGCATATAATCATATTTATCGTACGAAGGAGACTGGTGATCCCTTTAGTCGAAGGTACAAATATATAAAAGGACAGTGATATTTTTACTGGACAGGCAACATATGTACGAATACGCCAGCAACATAGGAATGTTGCGTCTGCTTAATAAGCATATCAATATACAAGTAAAAACAACATTTTTTTAAAGGATCCATATGGAATATGCATTTACGAAATACTTTTTGCACATGCACACAGACAATGTAGAGACAATTTCACAAATGAAAAGCTTATACAGTTACGTATGGTTAGTGCAACATGATCTTTACATTACATTTACAGTAAAGGCACTATGTGCATGTCCACCTAAAGTACATTCTAAGGCTGTGTTCAGATTAAACGTTATCGGTCCAGCAGGATCGATCTATCTCTGTAGATATTATTGTAAATAAGTAAACTCAATCAGTGCAATTGCCTGGCATGCCCCCTCCAGAAAGTTTCATAGCCGCACCTTGGAGAGAAAACCCGCAGAGATAGATCGATCCTGCCGGACCGACAACTTTTAGTCTGAACACGACGTAAGCACCACGTGTGCTTGCTAATCTGTTTGCATGGATAACCAAGGGCCATTTGCAGAGCATCTTAACAATTAAAAACAATTAAACCTAGTTAAAAGAACACCAAACTGCAAAATGAATTAACCGATTTTGTCTTTTGGGACGCTAGTATAAAATGTAAATAAATAATTTGATTAAAAAAAAATTCATAAAAAGACATTGCTATAAACTATGGAATTAAACTATTTTACCTCCTTCTCCTTGTAAACATCTGTTTTAAATTGTTCCTAAAATTCTTATTCATGAAAGAATATATGATTGGGTTGGCCATATTGTTTACAAAGTAACAATAGAAGACAATCATATTGAAAGGAACCCATTTGATGGCCATTAAGGCGCCTGGTAAAAATGTAACAAAGAAAACAACGGTCACCACGATCAACATGGAAGCGGTTTTTAAGTTCGCTCTTATGAATATCTCTCTTGCCATCTTCTTCTCGAGCGCCTTTGGGGACTCGGCGTCTGGAGTCCTGTCATCGCTTTCGGAGCCTCTTGAAAACAGCCCTCTGGTGGGGAAATGGACATGTGACAGGAGTCTTATCATGGATGGACGGCCGCCAGATGGCAGTGCTGTTGCCTCCATTTCAATGTTTTCTGAGGATTTAGAAACAGCATTGTTTTCGCTTTTAAGGCCACTTCCATTTGCCACGTGTTTTGACCGGCCGTTCGATTTTGGATATGCTATTTTTCTAAGACCGTTTGGCGGTGAAGGAGATTTATTTAAGCGCGGGAAACTGGCCCGTCGTCGCTGGTCATTGAATCTGACCCTATTAACGGTGTTATTATTCACTCGTGTGGGCCAAGTGTTATTTAAGTTGTCCATATCAATTTGACCAAGTTTGTTCCTCTTTCCGTCGATTCCGTCACGAGGGAGGCCATTTCGCTCGGCACCGTTATCTTCGCAATTGCTTAAGATATCTGAAAAGCTGACGCTGGGTTTCGGTTTGCCACTGGTGCCGCTGCTACTACTACTTCCATTTACCATTGATGATTGCTCATTTGCTGGGATGTTGTCGTTGTCGTCGTTTTCCTGGCTGTCCTCGAACAACGGTTTCATCTCAATGCTTTGGCGATCAGGGCTGGCCTTGAGATTTTCTTCGACGATGGTCGCCGTGGTGATAGCACCGCGTGTTTCGCGTCCAAACGTTGTAGATGGCGCTATGCTACGCCAATCTTCGCTTTGCCGCCTCTTGGCAAACAGCGCCCGTGCTTTACTGCTTCCGATCAGTGCCGACTTTCGCCGATGATATTTACGGACATTAACGTACAGGATTGAATACATAATGACAATGACAGAAAAAGCCACAAAATACATCACAGAGTGTACATAACGATATTTATGACGAAAATCAAACCCCAGAATTTTGTCGACTGGAATGCATCGTCCTTCCAAGCTGATCGTTTCATTCGTCCTTGCCATCGCGCTGTCTTGAGCGTCGCTGACCGATGAGTTCCTTTGACTATTAGTGGCGGAAATCCAAGGCAACTCCATCCCGGTATATACAGAGCCGTTGCCGCGATTCCATTCAACGGGAAGGGTGCCATTGAGGCTTTGTTCCGAACTCTCCTCTTCTTCTGGCGTAGCGGAGCCGTAGCACATGGCGACAAGAAGGCCCAAAATGGCGGCAAGAACAGACAAGCCGAAAATGGCGAACTTGACCTGAGTTATATTCGACTTCACTTTGTACGGCCGGCAGATACACAGGCACCTGTCCACAGCAATGGCTGCCATGACGAACGCACTCAGAGGCACGGTGGAGGTGACAAAGAAATGGTACAGCTTACACAGGAAGTCTGAGTACAGCGTGAACTCCACCCACTCCATAGCTATGGTAAACGGCACGATCACGGAACATGTGAACAAGTCGAGAAGGGCGAGGGTGAGGATGAAAATCCGAGCGCTGGACCGCTCGTAATTGCGTCCAAACACGTAGAGCACCAAGGCATTCCCGGCTGTCCCCGTCACGGAGATGAAGCTCAGCATGGTGAGGGTGGCGTACAGCTGTTGTACGGTCGCCACCGGCATGGACTCGTGGACCTCGTTGACGGCTTTTAACGTCATCGTGGGGTTTGTTCCGACAGTTCTGATAAAACAAAATAAAAGTGTGCATTAGGTACATACATATACAGTAGTAAGTAAGTATTGAGGTAGATCGGCCTAACTTGACTGTGAACGTGCTTATACTTTGGGAATGGTGGACCTTGGGGGGGGGAGGCAGTGGGCGCAAATAACACACGAAGCGTATGACGCGACTCAAACGTTCACATTTTTGGAATAACACTTTTCAGCAAAGAAAATAATAATTTAGAAATGCAAGTCGTGTATTAATTACAAAAGCATCCAATGAAGTTTTAATGACAGCATTTAATTACACTATCCTGCTATGTACAACTCGTTGTAAGCAATAAACACCCTTTTTAAAGCAAAGGACTCATTCCCATTGAAACTGTCTGTCTTCGTTGATCGATCCAACCCCGGGGGGGGGGGGTAGCTCTAAATGCAATCAGTTTAACAGGTTAACACGCCTCTAGTTTTCAACGTACTCTTAAGATCGTATAATACACTAGATAGGCCTATTCTGTATTTTACGAAACGCTAGAAAATCCAACCATATGAATTGTGCATGTTTCACCTCACATTTAGTTGCGTTTGCTTGTAGTAAGGCATGCTGGGTTTTTATTTTTTTTCTTAGTTTGTCGTCTGCAACGAGGCACGGCTTTGGGGCAGAAATTGTTTTAAAGATCTTCCAATACATAGTCTTGTTGATAAACACATTACAGTGGGAAAGGTGCAACAGAGTATTTATTTACAACGAAAAGAAAGCGTTTTTTCTTTACCTCAGTCTTAGTGTTTATATATTAGCCTATTCTGAGGAGAACCTTATGTCCCTTTCACCTTTGCACGGGGAATGGCTTTAATAGTCGTACAAGATGGTTCACGAGTACAAGAGGGCGGCTTTAAACAGGGCAGATGCACGAAATGTGGCGCCCCTTTACTGCTCACAATAAAAAAACACTAAGAGTATTCATCGTGCACAGTACTTGGAGTGGGCGTGTAAGGTAACTGTTACTTTTAAAGTTGTAAATACGAAAAAAGGTTTGTTGGTGTTGACTGAGACTAAGACTAAAACTAAAAGCATACCCTATTTGTAATAGAGCCTAAAGTTTACATCTTAACTAAACAAGTCTTGATTTAAGAGGTAGACGTATATAAATTGAGGTAAAACTTGAAATGCCATAACTATTACCTTGGCATTGGAAAGATATCCACGATTGGCTACTTTTTTTACAATAGTGATCAAGTAACAAAGTTAAAGGTGGATAGAAAATAGCTTTAACAGAATGAAAGACTGCGCACTTGAAATTCTTTTTGCAGCATTGTATACTTACACTGATTTAGAATCGAAAATAACAACAAACATATATATAATTATAAACCGTGATTTTTACGTTTCGTTCCTTTTCCGTCGAGTATTTTTGTCAACCAATATACATACCAAGAGATGTTATGTGACCATGGCGATACACGCTTTATTTGGTTTTAGGGGTGTTTTCCAGTGAAATACGAGTACTTTCTCTCGTATGTATGTACCTACATGTCAAAGAATACGCTGCCACCTTGCGATATATGCATTGAATACCTCCCATACGCTTAAGGTGTTCTGGTAGGTATCGCTTGGTAGACAGAGTATTATCTCTCACACGACCCATGCTATTTTACTTATGTTTCACCTTTGTAAGAGGAAGCGCTTCGAGCCGTGGAAGAGGTAGACGAGTTAACCAGCGGCCTCGTATCTCATTTTCCCCATACTTGACCGACAGCTTGCCTTGTTAACAAGCAGAGAAATGCTCTATGAACACTGTGAATTTTTTTCGCTCGAAACACTTAACGTGTTGTACGTGTGCAAAAGCTATATCATATGAATCTATCTCGCATACTGATGAAACATGTTCCAAGAGCTGTTAGATTATTCAAAATTTTAGTATCTTTTATGAAGTTACACCCTTGTTTTTCACACCAAGCCCAAACTCCACTCAAGTTATCCTAAATCTTGGCGTGCAAGGGTGATAACATGCGTTGTATGGTGACCAATCCCCTACAAAAGCAGCCCCTGCCGAATGAAACAATTCACCCATCTACTTTTTATCTAAGAAAACTTATACAACCAGGGAACTTCCAAAAAGAACAGTAGTTAGAAATGGACACCAGGTTTGCTATCGGTGGATGGATTATGGGTGGATTGTTTGTTTGATTGTTTTTTTTTTTTTTTTGTTTTTGTTTTTTGTTTTTGTTTTTTGTTGGTTTGTTTGTTTGCATACTTTTTTTGGGGGGGGGGTAGCTATGGCTACGAACGCTTTTTTATTGTTTTCTTTTTTTAAGTCTTATTTATTTTTACTTGTGTATTTAATTTTTTTATTACATCATTTTCTTTGTTTTTGAAAATCTCATCTTGTCTGCTTTGATTTTCAGTCGCGTCTCACCTTATAGGTAATAGTGCGCTTGCACTGAAGTTTGTTTCCGTGCATTGTTAGGTTGTTTCATTAAGCGGCCATACAAGCTAAGGCACGAAGTGGACATAGCCAATATTTAATACTCAAATACGCTTGAACTCAAAAAGTCGTGCCTAAGCTTGTATGGCCGCTTAATGAAACAACCTAACAATGCACGGAAACAAACTTCAGTGCAAGCGCACTATTACCTATAAGGTGAGACGCGACTGAAAGTCAAAACAAACAAGATGAGATTTTCAAAAACAAAGAAAATGATGTCATAAAAAATTAAATACACAAGAAAAAATAAATAAGACTTAAAAAAAGAAAACAATAAAAAAGCATTCGTAGCCATAGCTACCCACAAATAATTATGCAAACAAACAAACCAACCAAAAAACAAAAAATCCACCCACAATCCACTCGCCGATAGTAAACCTAGAGTCCATTTCTAACTACTAAGAACTTAAGGCTTTGCTTTTTAAGCGATATTACTTTAAATAGTCCAATTTCCTATGACAAAAGATTTTATGTATTGAATTTTAATTTACATTTATCTCTTAAACGGTCTTATTTATGAAAAAATTCATCTTAAGATGGTTTGTGCTGTCAATTTTGTTGATTTTTTAAAATGTTTTTATACTCTTAATAAATCATATTATTATCTACAGACTGCGTTTGTATATGTATGTGTATTTACAGTGTATACGTATATGAGTTGGATGTGGTGTTAGGTACATGAACGTTACTGCCCAACAATATGTCCTGCTTTCATTTTGTTGCCAAGTGTTTACGTGATTATTTCGGAGAGATGCACGTGCCACGCACATGTCGCTATTCTGACACACAAAAGCCATCAAGTGTAAAGTTAATGTTATTCAACAAGTATATAATAATGTGTGTGTACTAGTATAAACTATTAAGCTATTTGTAATGAATGAACACCACATTATATTGATAAAGATCTGCGAGTTAGGCTCTAAATATTTCTGTTATAAAAGAAAAATAGTTGTAGTAGGCGATGTTTCTATTGACCGAGTAACGGTATGCTTGGCGAAGAAGCTAATGTTCAGATAATCCTAACGTTGGCCAGAAATCAACAATGCGTCTTGCAGTCATTATGAATATCGATAAAAATAAGCAAATCTGTTTTGACTCGTAGATTGTGCATGTTCACTGTATTCAACAAATCACTGGATTTGCGTATTTTTCAATTATGGAAACGACCAAAATGCAAATTGGCTGCCCTCTTGCCTTTTAAACCTGGCAATCGTAATCACAATAATGTTTTTATTTCTGGAAAGTATTTAACATCTAATGGGTTACGAGTCAAGAACTCAACTTGAAATGCACTTTTGAAGCGGAGTGGCATTTAGGTACTATAATGTAGAGAAGTGGATTAAAAAAACATTACATCTACCGGTATTGTTTTGACATCAAATATCATGCACTGGTAAATCTTTGGATTTGTCAAGTCTCTGGTCCGCCCATAAACCAGGAACAAAAGAAATGGTTCAATTCATATTGTATGTCTGATGACATGAGGATGACATAAAGAAATGTACTTTAATTTTAACACTAATCAAGCACGCATACACGGATGCACGGATAAAGTTGCACGGATAAAGTTGTATACTACTAATAGATAACTATTAATCTTCGAGATCACGCCAAGGCATATATGTACATTGCCTCACAATGGTATGCTCCACGGGAACAACCTGGCAGCGGTATTCAGACGAAACTCTGAATGGCAAGTGCTTCACAATTGTATACACTCCGGGTTTTAAACTATCTAAAAGGCATATTTTACATGTGTGTACATATGCTGCAAAGGTACCTTAATATCTTTCCCAATTTATTCTTATGAAATGATTAAACCGGTTCCTTAAATAAAAATACCTGATGTCAAAAATTCCTTTTGAAATATACGGGGAGTCAAGGCAGTCTGAACGGTACGGGACACATTTAAAACAAAACTTTTACATTAATTAAAAACGGAATACAACGTCGAGGTCAAGAAATGACTAGAAAAAATATTAATTTGATTTGGCGGGAAAAGCCGGAATAACATACCTTTAATCAAAATTCTCATGGCTTTAATTCCGTCCCTACCTGTTAAATCCCCGTATGCCCACAGCCTTCCACCAACAGCACGAAACACCCTGCAGAATTCAGTTTTTCTCCGCACCTGAAAGGTCGAAGTCTTTATCTGTCCTTTTCTGAATAATCCTCCGTGTATAAATGTTCATGTCAGGTTCAACAGAGGTAAGTTGGTTTCAAATTAATATATAGACTTTGATTGGTATATTCTTATATTCGTTAATGATATCATCCTGTTTTCACAGACCCGGAAGCATTCAGCGTAGAGTGCTATTCTCCTATCCCGTGGTTTTTCCAGGATTTCTGTCCCTGCTTTCAGTGCATCCCCAACCCCCGAGGGTGATAATGACAATGAAACGTCACTTCACGCTGTGTCATTTTACACTTTACCCACATATTGATCACGATATGTGATAATCGTTTCGTGGGGAACACGTATCCACAGCTTTCACAGGCTCACTGCCCCCTTTTCACAATTCATGGTAGGATCTCTTAGGGAAAAAAATCCAGAAAAAGTTTAAGGCTTTGGTGTCGAAGGTCCTCAGAATCTATTTCAGTCAACTTGTATGGTCTGCGACACGTCTTTTTTTGCTCAGCCAAAGGCAATATTCACATTTTCTGTTCTACAAGTGGATCTGATGTACAAATTGAAGTGAAACAGGAGCCGTCAGTCATCATATTTTATTAATTAAGTGCTTGAAACAAATATACGCCGTTTGTATGTGACTCATTTACAATGGCATCGCTTCTTTTTTTTCTTCTATTTCCTTGTCGTCATCGCACCTCTTAATGTATGTAGGTATCGAAAATCAATTATATAAGATAACTCCCAATGTAGGTCACCCTTCAGATAAACTGGCTGCTGGACTGGTGCAAAAAATCCAACAGTATTATTAATGAGAATATCTAAGGTAAATTCAAGAAATAATTTGCTGTATGATTTACGCCCTTGATTCCAAATAGATCTAATCAATCTGATTAACGTACCTATGACTGCACGAGGTGTTACGTACCAAACTGGCCGTGGGGTATAAACATTCCAGGAGCTTTGCACAATAGGATGGTTTGTTTTTGTTTATATAGAATGTGGACCAACGTACATGTAACCTGTTTCTCAGTCCTAGATCCCTGTCGTCTTCGCTAATTCATAAATACGAGGCAGTAGCTACAGACAACTCCAATTCGGGTCGGTCGACTTACAGCCATAAAAACTCCTCTCCTTGTGCTGGTATGGCTTCTGCGCGTATCGTATTCTCCGTGGATGAATTTCACTCTTTTTATCTTGTCGGCAACCTGTCGGCAACTTGTTCACTTTATTTTTGTAACATCAAGATCCAGCCCGGTCTATCCTTGGCGGATGTTAAAAAAAGGCACTCGTCGTTCGCTACTACAGCTTGTGACCGACAGAAATGCGTTACCAGCTAATTTTTTTCTGTATGCCGAGGAAATTGTCCCGTTCAAGTTTGCTTACTGTGCACGGTCACCTTCGATTTACCTGTGCCAGTCTCAGCGCACTGCGTGTGCTCCCCTCACCACCGGCGCCGATTTTTGCGGATCTTCACTGTTCAGAAATAACTGGGAAACGGGAAATAACAGAGGCTGCGTGTCCGTGATCCGTGGAAACCAATCTGCAAATAGAACACAGGCGGGGTGGTTATTTTTGCACGTACACACTGGGAATCGATATGCAGTCATTTTTTTATCCTGCGTTTTATGTATTTATATATTTCTTTACATATCACATTTTTTTATATCGAAAGTCACTTCAGCTTAAAAATAACATACAGTGCGCTTTCACCATGCTACATGCACATGTAGTGTTAATTGAAAAATAGCGTGTTCGAATTACTGGAATTTTATAACCTGTCTTCAATTCTTGGATCTGCCGCGACTTGGCTGGTTTTAGATATATTTATAAAAGGTTAAGATCAACCAGGCCGCTCCGACGGGAAGACACGAATGAATGTTCGGTCGAATGCGTGTTGTTCATAATGATGTTATTTGCGCGGTTCCTGTTCCGAACCATAAACAATAATGAAAGGCTTATCTATCCGTTCACCTGGGGAAGGGAAATCAAACGGGATTAATTTAGAAACCAAAACTGCTTACTGGAATGACTTAATAAGTGCAATAAATTTAGAAACTCCAAGATGACAGGAAGTCGAGTTGAATTCAGATATACAGGTAAATATAAAAGTGCACTTCATAGGCCGTATACACAACCAAAGTTGATCCGCGGACTAACAGATCCCCGGATCAAATATGGCTGACCCACTGGAAAACTTGCCGCATAATCCCTGCGGGGAATGTATCCAATGTGCATTAGGGACTATGCGGCAAACTCTCTAGTGGGTCGGCCATATTCGATCCGCGGTTCGGTTAGTTCCCGGATCAACTGGTTGTGAATGCGGTCATAGCTATTTGTTGGATGCAGTTTATTTGAATCTTTTTCGACAATGGCATCTCATCACGGTTTATTTAATAATAACAGCAAATGGAAAATGTTTGGATGATACAATGATTAGATATTTTAAGTGGATATGTTATAAAATCGATGAATTTCAATTACTATTTCTGACGGAATTACACTATTTTTGTTTTCAGGTGGCTATAGCCTTTATATATATATATATACTGATAGTTTACATTCAATAACACACAGGCAGCACCAGTTCTGATAAAAATAAATAAGATTTCAAAATGTGCGGAATAAGTAGATCAATTGTATAATATACCAACGTGATCTTACGGAATATTTGATACCTTACATTGTCTCCATTTTTTAAGGCTGATTTTGACGTCAAAGTGCATATATGTCCTTTAACGAGACATTCTCATGAACTCCAGACCGCCTGAAGAAGTCCTATATTACCGGCGTGGCCGGTAATTACATACTGTATCCCCTCAATAGTCTAGGCGTTTTCCGATCATCCTTATACGGCATAAAAACTCCTTACTCAAAGCAAACTAAGACTCAAATCGTTGAAGCTTCACTTTCTTATCATCAGGAGTAATTAACAAATAGAACTTTGGAAATATATATATCTATCCATTTTTTTGTTTTTATTTTCAATTTTCGAAATTAGTGAAAAATTCCCGAACTATAAAAATCATCACGGTTCAGTGATAAATGAAATAGAAAAAAATAGGAAAATGAATATGTATAATGTCTTATACTGTCTACTGCACTCCTTCCTAATACATGTATAAAGCTGCGTCTATGCAAGTTCTTATTTCCAGAAGATGTTTGCCATGCGCACGAGCCCTATTTAAGAAACCTCTGTAGCGTCCATTTATGTGTTATTGAACTATTTTTTTGTTACGTAATTCTTTCAAGTCCAGACCAAAACAAGGTGTTATCGCGTACAGTGTCAAGGACGTTAACAATTACCGGGTGCAGTGAAGTCTGATTAGCGGATAGATAGCTTTGTTAATTGGCAACTACTGGCACTAGTGATAATGCTCCTCCGTATTTATTTCATTAACGTTTCATAAGAAATCCACAGACAGCGTTTATTGCAACTTTAAGACTATTTGTTTTGCTGTTTCATAAAATATCTGATAACACATCCGGTTTTGAAATGAATCCCCTACAATCGGCTCCACAAGTGTCTTATTTTCAAACTAGGTAATAGTTTTGAATTCAATAGCTCCCAACACACAACAGCAAGGTAAATACACAGAGAAGAATTTCGTCGGTGGTGTTATGTAATAAAAATAAAGAAGTTTTTCTTCAATCAACAGCTAATATCATCATTGATGTGATAAATAGTATCTTTTTGTTTTGATTTTATGGCCAAATGAAATAAAAATGAAAAATAAAACTAGGTTCATTTGAAAACTGATGCAACAATTACGCGCTTGGAACCAACATTAGAGTTCTAATTTTTATCCTGTTTATCGAGACATTAAGAGACTGAGGAATAGCAATCTTATCTCACCTTCGCATTTGTTAACAAAAGCTGCACGTGCATCCCCGGACGCTTTTGGTGAAAGCCTCATTGGTATAGTTGTATCCTTATTTCTCTCCGCAAGTCAATGAGGTTTACCAGTTTGGTTGTTAGATTTCAGCCTTATTGCCTGTTACCGATGTAATAAAATTTTATAAGTTCACTAACGGTGCTCGATCGTCCCCTTACTTTTTTCTTTTAAAGATATCTATCTTAAGCATTCGTTTGTTTGCTTTTGTCTGGCACAAACGATTCCAGGATTCTTCTCGTCACTCTCAGATTCTGCGTTACGATAAAATAAAACACCTGCCTTCTCCTCTGACGCAAGCAATGTTGTCAGTGATGTTCAGATATCTTCAACGATCGAGAAAAGTGTAAATATATAATCCAACATGACCCCCAGGTGCCATGGTGTTACATGCAACGAACTAAGTTAGACTGGTACATCGGTGTGCGATTTTGATTTTGCTAAAAGGCAAACGTTGTCAGCGGATATGATGCACTGAGTCTGTCATACTGTGTGACTGTCACCCGTATCCTTTTGTCCGAAAGCTGGGCGTCTCTCCCAGGAAACAGCGAAGTCAATCTTCACACATCGTTATGTACTCGTCACATCGATTTACAAGTCGTTCCTCTGTCACTTTAGCGCGAGGAAAAAAAAGAACGACTGTACGTAAGTACCGGTATATTTAACAGTACACGGGCTGCACACTGTTCAATATATTTTTCTTTGAGTGTTTGGTTTTCAGGCAAAGTCACATCTGCCTACAACATGCGGCTGCAGGAGTTCTTCGCGGGGGTTTCAACTATGTCCATTTGTTTTTTTTTTTTCAGTCCGATTGACTCCCTGAAAAAGGTAAGTCCTTCAGACGAGGCTTTTTCGTTGCATAACCAAAAAGATCCCTCAGAAATCAACGTCAAGCAAACTCACCACATCAAAACCTCTGCAGAAGAACCTTCAAACAGGATGCTGCTTTTTTTGCTAACAAATCACAAATACCACATCAGTTCTCCGCGCTGTCACCAGGCGTCTCCCACGCGTCTCTTAACCTCCTGTCCGCAAGCGCACTGCTTTGATGATGGAGCTAAAAAAAAAAAAGACAGCTCCTTTGTCCACGATGCTGTACAGCATTCACGTATTGCCTCCCGGTATTGCTACTACGAGTCTCTGGCCATTCTCAACCTACGTCTGTCCTACGATAAAGTCTTCAAAGCTCACAACGGTATTCTTTATGCATTAGACGCGCGGTCTTTATCGTATAATTACTCCCAGAGCCTCTCAAGGCGTTTTGAGCATTTTTCTCCATAATGACACGTCTCTGCATCTAGCGGCTCATTTTTCATCTGGGAGATTCCGAGCGCGTCTTAGTACCAAAGCTCTAAAAAGACGTTATTAATCAAAAAAAGGGATGATTAAGTTCAACTCCAGTTTGGGTTATCGCTCGTACTTGTTTTCCATATTCATTCCCTGGCGAAAAGCGCGTTCACACTAATTTCAAAGGGACCTCAAATCGATCTTGATTACGGCTCAGCAAATTAAAAAGCAAGTAACTCGGCCAATGATTTTCAGGTTTCCTTCAGTCAAAACCCACGTGGCCCTTACCACTTTGGAAAAAATCAGTTAAAGAACAACTTCCGGAGGAGGATATTTAAAAAGTCAGGTGGGCGGCGCGATGTGTTTTTGGCGGAAACGTTCACTGTAATCAAATTAGGTGCATTTTGGTTAAAGTTTACTGACAAAATTAGTGATAACGGCGTATAGGGTCAATCTGCATCAACAAATGGACCGTTGACGCCATTCTCCACGACCAAATTTGGACCAATCTGGTTTGTGTGAATGTGAACGGCCTCGTTGCACGCTGGATTTGGACTCTCGGGTCTCTTGGTAACTGAACTTTTATTTCAGTCTCCTTGGAAAAAATGAATATTTTTAAAATGTTGCCTTAGTTACGGTGCGGGAATTGTGGTCGGGGAATAATTTGCATATAGAGGAAAAGCGAAAGGATTATGTTCGTAAAATGAACCTTTTTCTCTTTGTGGTGGTGTGTGTTGAAGCGTATGGACGGTTGTGCAAGTAAAAACGGGTAAAACAGGGTGAAGCTAATGGGTGCAGGTATAGAGAGGATAATTTACTGGTAACAAAACCGCTAATAATGCCGAATGCATTTCCTTGTGAAGGGATGCATTGTTAAAATAAATCCGATCAAAAGCACGCGTAAGTAGCTTTACGTTGTAATATTCCCCACGCATTTCCTGATAATTACAAAACGTTGATGATTGTCTTTATTAATACGTAAAGAAGAGGTTCTAACGGATATCGCTTTATAAGTTCGAACTGTAACAAAATGCAATCGGAGGAACAAGAGTCGCAATGGTGCGGATATTGTTAGTTGCTAAAAAACAAAAAAAAAAAAAAAAAAAAGAACTGGAAGAGACCATTTCAATTATCAATTATTAATTTTTATACAAGCGCGATACAAGCAGGTTCTAATAAGTGGCTAAAAACTGACAATAGAATACAAGGAGACTCAAGAAGACACATTTCAGAAATTCACGGTTATATACGTATATGTCTGTATAACCTGCCTCTGCGGGTGAAGCTTTGGACATAAGGTCGCCTCGGTGCTCTATCCCACTCTGGAGTGACTACCTGTATGTGCGATTAACAAATCTGGATAAGCATTTGGAGTGCAAATGGAGATTTTACTCAACAATCAAAATATCGTTTCCAATTATACAGCTATAAAACGGTGCTTCCTCTCCTATGGGTGTCATTACTATGCCAATTTAATGGTAGACGTTAAATTAATCCGCGTTTCATTATGCTGATAGGGAAATTGAAGTAAAGCAAAGCAGTCTGGATTATGCTGGGTTACGTTCTTGCGTTTTTAGCTTTTTTATGTACAATACCTACGCGCATGTATGATACAATTTCCTCTTACATATATATATGTATACCAACATACATATACTAATACAGCAGTGGATCTAGGATCCTTGTATCAAGTGTGTGTGTGTGTTTGGGGGGGGGGG